GCTGGAGAAAAAATTCTTCCAAAAACAGTCTTTAAATGAAGGAGATTCAGTCCAAAAACAATATATTTATATAAACTGTAAATAAAAATCCACACCACTCCAACCCCAGCACCACTGGAAAGTGAGGTACTGCAGCAATGTAGAACATGGTTTCTTCCACATGCTGCCCAATGCACATGTGAAAGGGTTTGGTTGCAGCAACCACGGGTCCCGAACGAAGGGGCCGACCATAAATTGTATCCACCAATACTGGCAGTGACACTTGTTGCTGGGAATGGACCACTGCATGACAAAATGAGCATCCATGAAATTGGCCATGGCCCCTGAGTCCCCCAAGGCCTGGATCTCCATTGCTCCCTGACTAGACACAAACACATTCACTGTCAGCACAAGATGCTTCACCAAGGATGACTGGGGTGGAGATGGTGAAGATGGCAGTGTTGATGTCACTGCCCGTTTCTCGCCACTGCTGATGTTGCTGCTTTAGGTGCCTTAACAGGACATTTGGCTGCAAAATGGCCTTGGGTGATGCAATAGAGGCACAGGCTGTCACGACGACACCTATCCTTTTCAGATTGGGCAGGTGAGGTTGGGCAGCCCCCAACTGCATGTGCTTGTCCGGAGGTACTTCTGATGGAGGCGCTGTCTTGACGGGAGTGGTTGTGGCATCTGTCCATTGTCATGCCTGGCGTTGCTGAAGCCTGGCATCAATATGAAGTCACAGATGCATGAGCTCCTACAGGGTGCGAGGGCATTCAATGTGTGCCTACTCATCCAGGAGCTCTGATGACCGGCCTTCCTGGAACTGGTCTATCAGTGCTGCCTCATTCCATTGCAGATCCTGGGTGACCACCCAGAAGTCAGCAATTTAGTCCGTGAGCGAGCCTCTATCCTGCTTCAATTCTCTCAATTGCCTGTTTGCTGTTTGGGCCCGAACAGGGTTCTCAAACATGGCCCTTAACTGATGGCAAAACTCTGCATAATTATCCAACAACTGGTTGGGCTGATTCAACAGAGGCGTCACCCAATGTGCTGCAGACACTAACAACAGGCTAATCAAAAAACCCACTGTATCTCAGTGGGGAAGTCCTCTGGCCGAAGGCTCATATAACCTGGAACTGCCCCCCAAAATGCTGGAAATTCAGCCAGCAATCCATCAAATTTATCCAGCACCACTACCAGGCATTTGTGGCAGAGGTGGTATTCAGCCGGTTCGCACCGGTTCTGGTGACACGGTAGCAAGAATTTGGTGCGGGTCACAGAATCAGTAGCAACATCTGGCTGGCCATGTCCCCAAACTGGTACGGTGGCCTGACGGTCGCCGCTCACTTGCTTGCCCTGCCTGCCCTCTTGCCGCTCGCTTGCTCTGCCTGCATGAGGCTCGGCCCGCCCATCCCAAGCCCATCCTATAAAAATGCTTTGCCACATGGCCCTATCACTTGTGCATGCTAGCCTGCTCTGCACAGCTGCCTGCCTAAGCTGATTTGAGACTGAATTGAGTCTACTCTACTCTTCCCCAATGAATGTTCCGGCTTCCTCCTGCCTGCAGGACTAGGTAAACACTGACTCGCTAACCCCCGCTGCCCAGCCCCGATCCTGGATTGAACCCTCAGCCCTCCTTCCCACCACCCGGCTTCGCCCTGAGCTTCTGCCAGCCTCTGCCAGCTGCAGCCTCAATCCGCAGCCTGGCGTAGCTCCCCAAGTCACTGCAGGTCCCTTATGGGCCAGCTGCTACCCTTTGTGGGCCACCAGCCCCCCCCACCAGGCTTCAAAATGCCCCTGGAGCTCCTTGCCACCTCCCGGCCTCACCTCAGACTTCTGGCAACCTCCGGAGGCCATGGTCTACAGTCTCTGCCTCACATAGCTGGCCAAGCTGCCATGATTACTTGTGCCAGGCTGCTGAAAAACGCTGCTTGACACCACCCAGCCTCGCTCCAAGCTTCCGGCAGCCTCTGGAGGCTCGGGCCTCCAACTTGGGGCCTTTCATTGCCGGCCAAGCCACTGTGATGCTGCAAAAGCCCCCTGGAGCTCCTTCCTGCAGCCCGGCCTCACTCTGAGCTTCCAAGCTGCTGCAATTGCTTCCAAGCCCCATGATCACTTCCAAGCTACCGCAATTGCCCTCCCCTCAAGGGCTTCTAAAAGGGCCCACAGTCTCCAGCCTAGCCAGCCTTGTTAAAATAACCCACTTCCCTTCCCCCACCAGTCTCCAGCAAGTACCTACCTCCTTCAGACGTCTTCTCCCGATTTCTGAACTGCTGCTGTAAACTTGTCTCCTGCCTTGCTTGCACTGCATCCAGCTCATCGGTGAGCAACTGATTCTGCCTGCCTGCTTTCCTCAATTGGGTAACTAAGTGGCTTTTTTCCCCTACTCATTATTTAAATCAGGGCAGGGGTCTTCAAACTTGGCAAGCTTAAGACTTGTGGACTCCCAGAATTCCTGAGCTAACAGGAGGAGGAATTCTGGGAGTTGAAGTCCACAAGTCTTAAAGCTGTCAAGTTTGAAGTCCCCTAATTTAAAAAAACAGTAAGTGTGTTATTTTTTTTTTTAGGAAATAGTCATAAAATTTAGGAAATTTTAACTGCTTTTCTATTTTTAGAAAGCAGCTGGTTTGTGAGATTGTCATTGTTTGTGTATGGAAGTTCTTTTAAATTGTGTGAAATGTTATGTGCCTATAAATTAAAGGTATACTTTTAGATTTTTCTAGCTGTATCTGCTTTGTAAGTGTGCATGTGTAGTTTTCCTAGTTGTGTAGGGAGTGTGTTTTCAGTTATGTAGTTTTGTGGGTCTGCTGCCAATCCAGTCATGTTACAGTGCCACTTTTAACATGACTGGATTGGCAACAGATCCACAAAACTACACAACTGAAAACTAAACACACACTCACATAGCAGATACAGCTGGAAAAATCTAAAACAGTCAGTCACATGGCTGCCAAGCCATGCCCAACCAGTCACATGGCTGCCAAGCAACACCCACCAAATAACCCACACCCACACAATCACATGACCCCCCTAAGCCACACCCACAAAATAACCCTCGCCCACAGAACTGGTAGTTCAATTTTTTGAATCCCACCACTGATTTGCGGTGTGGCCGGACAGCTTGCATTTGCGCAACCTGCACAGTCAAAAGACTGCTGGGCTAGCTGGTCATTGTCTGGTCTGAGTTGATCCATGGTCACCCCACATAAAACAGAAGCAAGTTGAAGGGGTGGTGGGAAGCAAAATGTGGTGACCCAGGGCATGGCATAAAGGCAACACAGTCACATAGTAAGAAAAGTGTCTTTAATACCTCCAACTTTGCCCCCAATGTCCAGTTACCTTCGGCTGGAGAAAAAACTCTTCCACGAATAGTCTTTAAATGAAGGAAATTCAATCCAAAAACAAAGTACCTATAAACTGTAAATAAAAACCCACACAAACTATGCTACAGCAATTAACTGGACAGGGCAGGATCAGGAATTGCAGACTTCAAAGGCCAACAAAACACACACAGTTGGGAAGATGCCAGGAACCCAGATAAGCATCGACAATAACAGATAACTCACGATTTGCTTCCAACAAGTTGCTATGCACAATCTCCCTTTTTAAACACTGTGTTCCCAGTTGCAGCTAATGAAGGGAATCAGGGCCCTTTCCTGCCCTGTAAGCCATGCAACTCACGTTGCTCCTTTCTCTGTTCCTCCCTGCATGTCCTAGGATGAAGAGGGGGTGGGCCTGGATCTCCCTCTGAATTCCCTCTGCCTTGCTCTACCTCTGCCCTGCTCTGCCCAGCCGGACTTTGCCCTTCCCCAGTTTCTTCCACAGCCATGGGAGCCACACTCCCACTCCCTGTCAGCTGCTTGGCCTCCTGCTTGGAATCAGATTTTGACAGGGGCATGACACTATCCAATCTCTTCTCATTTCTTAAACATTTGATCAAAAGGTTAGCTAATTAATGCTATGCAGATGAAGGTAGAGTCACAGAAACTGTCCCTTATTTGTTTTCTTTTTGCAACTTAGCGAACATTGCAGTTTTTAAGTGTATTCTGGCAACAAAGAGAACAGAAACTTCTAGGGTAAGAGAGCATAAACTACTAGGGTATGCTTGAGAGAGCAAGCAGTCTACTCACTGAGGTCTGTCAATAGTTTCCTTTACAAAGTGATAGACATAACAAGAAAAAGCATAAGAACGCACAAGAGAGAAAGACTACTAGAAGACAGGACAGATGACTCAGATAAAGCAAGCAAGTTCAAAAGAACTAGTAAATGAGAGAGAGAAGGAGGGAAGAGAAAATGTATGAATAGTTCATGATATTGGCGATCTTTATGCCTATTTCACAGATCGTATTGGGGCTTTTCAATAAAGCAGGAAAAGCCGAAAGTTCTTACTCACTTCAGATCAAATTTTGACAGTACTAAATCTCTGTATTTAGGTAGTTGCAAAATCCCTTTAGGTAGTTGCAAAATCCCTATTTGTCTTTGCTCATAGCCACGTTCAGGAAAGTGACTGGTAAATGTTTTACATTAAAGCTGTAAGATTAAGCACCACTTATTGGCCTCATTACCAAAGCATAAGAGAGATCAGTGGCATAAGAGATCAAGATACATCAGTATACCTTTGTGCCCTTAAATGGACTAGAGATAAATATATTATACTAACTATCAGAATGTGCAACTGTATTTAAATTTCCAGATAGCCTTGAATTTCTCATTTTAAGTAAAATTTTAGTCTAATTATTGTGTGATTGTAAGGAAGAAAATCATGTTCATCTTAAATTATTGGGGAAAAGATTTTAAAATCAAAGGAAAGTGGCATTATTATTTAGCATAGCTATGTAAGCAGGCCTACTTCTGAACTGGCTGGATTAAAAACATTAAATTAAGCATTCTAGATTAAGACAGGATATCCAGACTCATTTTTATGCTTCATTGGAGATTTCATAGAGTATGCATGATAATAAAAATTTAAAACCTTATCTTTCATCTGATACTCTCATTCATGCTGTGAACATACTTACATTTTAACTCAAGTTTGATGAAATCTGAATTCCCCCGATTCTCAAGGAAGACTCCATCAGGGGCTGATGTTTTGAAGTAGAATGAAATGTCAGCACTAGTCTCTCCTTGAAAGGTAGAGAAGTGGAGATATGAAGATCGAGTAACAAATGATGCAGCATTCCAATAATTCTCTGTAATATACAAAAATATATTTCTTTTGAGCTATGTGCTACTTAAAATTAGACAAAATAAACAATACTTTTTAATGAAGGGACAGAAAGCTGAAGCTGAAATGAGAAGCAAGCTATATTATTTGTCTTTTATATAGAAAAATAATATTTTAATTAAAATATTAATAATTTGATTCTTTTATTGATAGATAGTTGCAGCCTAATATTGCCTATAATTTAATTAGCATGATTGCTGTTCATAATATATATTATACCAGAAAATTATGTTTGTACTTAATAAACAAGAGTGCTTTTTACTTAGCTGCCAAGCTTTCCTCTGCTAAATCATACAGATACAGATAATCAGAGTTGGAAGGGACCTTGTAGGTCATCTAGTCCAAGCGGGAGATCCTACACCATTTCTGACAAATGGCAGTCCAATCTCTTCTTGCAAGTCTCAACTGATGGGACTCCCACAACTTCCGAGGGCAAGCTGTTCCATTGGTTAATTGTTCTCACTGTCAGAAAGTTTCTCCTTGTTTCCAGGTTAAATCTCTCCTTGTTCAGTTTCCATCATTTATTCCTTGTCTGGCATACAGGAGCTTTAGAAAATAGCTTGACGCTGTCCTCCCTGTGGCAGCCCCTCAAATATTGGAAGACCGCTATCATGTCTCCCCTGGGAGACTTGAAACAAATCATACTTGAAACAAGATCTGAAGTGATTAATTGAATTCCTGAAGATCAACATTGCATCCTTTTGTGATGAGATTTTATGAATTCCATTACAATTAAGTTAAAGTTAAAAATCCCAGGTCAAATATTTTTAGATAAACTATACTGAAATAAAAGGAAAAAGACAATTCTAGGAGATCTTGAAATCTAACATATGCAGAACAATTGATATTTAGAGAGTTTATAGACATGTTTTCTAGAAACTACAAAATTTCACAAATTGAATTAAAAAACAAAACAATGTAAAATATAACTAGAGGCATAATAATATAAAGAGCAAACTTGAATACCTCTAACCAAGTACATAGAAGAAATACATACAGAAAGATATTAAGATATTAAGTCTTTAGCTATTATATCTTATCACAATGAAAGTGAATAAAGTTCAGCTCAGTTTACTTAGTTATCATATAAATTACAAGGTTAGTTGGGTACCTAATGTTATAGCATTTAAACTATCTTAAAATAAACTTTTATTCAGAAAGGACCAATAAGGACATCCGGTGGCACTTCTGTCAAGGACGGATGGAGACCACGATCATGTGCGGCTTCGATCCATGCTTACCCTGTTGGAGGGGTACCTACGGGACTGAACCCACCTAGGAGGGGTGGGGGAAGAGGGGGAGACTGCCAGATGGGTCAAGGGGAGCCACACCTCCCCTCTCTGGCTTGGTATAATCTCCTGGAAGACAGAGAGAAGCAGCAATTTTAATGGCTACCCTGAAGACAGGAAGCTGCTGGGACCTAAGTGTGTGCTGGAGAGGTGAAGTGCTGAGTGGCATAATCCAGGCAAGAGAAGCTGAATCTTTTGTTTTAATAACCCCAAAAAGCAGAAAGAAAGATTCCTTGTTTGAGAGTACAACAGTGGCAAATAGAAAACAAGAGGACAATATAAGGTAAATAAAATCTGGATTACAAAAGAGCTATAACGAAATTAAGGACAGAATTGGGAATAATATACAGAACCTGGTATTAATTTGGCATTGGATAAAATGCTGAACTTGCTTGGAATTGATTATACTTTTAAAAAAAAGCCAATGGTTGAAATGCTCAAAAATTAACATTAATATAATTGAAAAAAAAGGAAAAAAAGAATTTTGAAAAGTGGAAGCTATATAGAGTGCCATCTAATGGTACAAGGTATTTTTTTCTGGATGACTTTACGGAAAATTACTGGTATGTTAAATGTCTGAATGAGAAAGACGTGAAATAAAAGTCTTTAACAAGAACCCAGGAAACTTAAAAGAAAAAGGGGGAGATTGCAGCAAGAGGACAAAGGAAGGCAATATCTTGGGACTGTTGGGAGTTGACTGTGCAAAGGAAATAGAAGGACCAATAAAGAAAAGAGATATAAACGGAGTCTCTTGGCAAGGATTACAATTAACTTTAATAAAATAAAAAATAACACAATTGATTAAAAAAATGGAAGCAGCAAGCAAAGAATTTAAGTTGGAACTGCAAACTGTGAAAGAAATGATGAAAGAAGGGGATTATTGGACACACTAGCAGAAAAAGTAATGCAATTTATAGCAGAACAAAGGATTCTAGAGAGGAGGAGCCAAAGGAAGAGGAAAACAGCCAAGATGGACATGAAGACTCAGAGACATTGCCAGGACACAAAAGGAACCAAAACTAAGACATTGATGACAGAGATAATAAATAAAAGAGAAAAAGCTCTGCCTGGATGAACACAAAAATGCAGTAAAAAAGCTGGAACACACTTCCTCACTAGTCCAACACATGAAAGCAACAGGTCATAGCATCGACTTCAATGGCACCAAAACCCTAGCCACTATAGAAAACCCCAGCCACAGAATTATCAGAGAAGCCATAGAGATTGAAAAAAGACCTGAAAGCATGAATAGAAGAGATGACTCCACCAGACTGTCAATTATTTGGAAGCCTGTACTCACAAACAAAAAAAAAATCTCCACACCACAAGCCAGGCAAACACCTGGGCACAAACAGACCCCCTCTGATACCTCCAGCTCAAAGACACCCCAACCAGGCACCCAGATGAAACCTAGCTTCCTAACAAATGATAGCTGTCCATTTATTTGGAGCCAAGCTGCACTAAAAGCCTCCAATACAGGAACACACCACTGTCACCCGTCATTGCAAACCTGTTCATGGAAGAATTCAAATCCAGAGCCCTGGCTAACACCCACAAACCCACATTTGTGATTTGGCCCCATGGAAAAGAAAATCTAAACAATTTCCTAACACACCTAAACAGCACACACCCCAAAATCAAGTTCACCATGGAAATGGAAACAAACAAACAACTACCATTCCTAGATGTACTAATCTACAAAAAAACAGATGGCACACTAGGACACACCATATACCAGAAGAAAACACACACCAACTGCTACCTTAACGCCCAATCCCACCACCACCCAGCACAGGTAAACTCCGTGGCCAAAACACTAATTGCCAGAACCAAATGCCTGGCAGACAAGACACACATAAAGACTGAACTATGCACCCTGACTAAAGTACTGACAGCCAACGACTTCCACAAAAGCAAAATCACCGGCTTGATCCACAAAAACACACTGAGACATAATGGAGACCTAGAAGATGAACAGACCTATGGAACAGCTATCCTGCCCTACATAAGAGGTACTATAGACAAAATCAGTAAGATACTACACAGGCATCACATCAAAACTGCCTTCAAAACAGACAGAAAAATAGCAGCCATCCTAAGAAACCCCAAAGATAAAACTGACCTGGAAAACCAAGGCATATACGAAGTTCCCTGTGCATCATGCCCTGCCACATACATTGGACAGACCAATAGAAGAATAAGTACCCGCCTGGATGAACACAAAAATGCAGTCAAAAAGCTGGAACAAACTTCCTCACTAATCCAACACATGAAAGCCACAGGTCATAGCATCGACTTCAATGGCACCAAAACCCTAGCCACTATAGAAAACCCCAGCCACAGAATTATCAGAGAAGCCATAGAGATTGAAAAAAGACCTGAAAGCATGAATAGAAGAGATGATTCCACCAGACTGTCAATTATTTGGAAGCCTGCACTCACAAACAAAAAAATCTCCACACCACCAGCCAGGCAAACACCTGGGCACAAACAGATCCCCCCTGATACCTCCAGCTCAAACACACCCCAAACAGGCACTCAGATGAAACCTAGCTTCCTAACAAATGATAGCTGTCCATTCACCTGGAGCCAAGCTGCTCTAAAAGCCTCCACTACAGGAACACAACGTTGCCAGCCAACCAAGACAAAAAAAGCCACAAAACAGACAGAAGATATTAGAAACACCAATCAAGCAGAATACAACAAACTCCAAGACCAATAAACACAGACCAAGACTCCCAACCAATCAGGACGAAGAAAAAACCATTCTGGCACAGCAGTAGGCTAGCCCCAAATTTAAAACTGAAACAACTGTAAAAGTCTGACTCACAGACGAACACAATACAGAAGCCTGATGATGGCAGATGAGATTGTTTGTTTTTGTAGATTTTCACGGGTACAGATATGTAGGTCTAGGTGTGTTCGGGTTTTTCCCGTGTAAGATTAAGAGTATCTTGGCGATGTTTCGGCAAGGTCCCACTCGCCATCCTCACCCTGGTGCTTTCGGCTTCGTGCCAATACAAGCAGTGTGTGATCGGAGTTGCGTCTCTCTATAAATACTGGTGGTGGGGGCCCTAAGCTCTATGGCCTCCCCAAAATACACAAAGAAGGAATACCACTCAGAGCCATAGTCAGCTCCATAGGGTCATCTCTACAGAATATTGCCAAATTTCTCGCCAAACAACTCCAGCCCTACACAGAATCCATCATCTCACACGTACAAAACTCCTTCCACTTCATAGAAACAATAAAGAAACAAAACCTACAACCCAGCGACCTACTCGTGAGCTTCGAGGTCATATCCCTCTTCACCCAAGTATCCATCAAAGAAGCCTTGACAGTCATCCAAAACAAATACAACCCTCCCAAACACATCCTAGATCTGACCAACCACTGCCTAACCAACACATACTTCATCCACAATGGACAAAGATACAAACAGATAGAAGGAGCATCCATGGGATCACCCCACTCACCCATCATCGCTAACCTATACATGGAACACTTTGAAACCAACACTCTAGACAAATCCGAAAACAAATCCCTCTTTCTCTCTGTTTCTTCCCCTCTACTTCCCCACCTCTGTCCCTTCTTTCTCTCTTGGAAAGCCAAGGCTGGGCCAATCCTGCAAGCACTCCTTGGAGTGCTTTGCTACTCTTTTCTTTCTTCTTGGAAA